GGGGGTAGAGGAGGCCGGGGGAAGGTCAATGGGGGAAAAAAAGGGGAGACATATGTACTACTATTTGTAATACTTTAAACAAGAAAATAACAAATAAATAAATAAATAAAAAATATTATCCCATTACATCCAGAAATTAAGTGCCAGCTATATTCAAACCTGTCACAGGCAATTAATTATTGATCACTGGTGTGATCAATAAGACAACCAAATATTGGCACTAGTTTCTCAAATCTATTATATGTATTGGAAACCAGTTTCCCAAATAATTCTCAAAACTATTAAAACAAAACAAAACAAAATACCCAAGTAGACTTTGAACTAAATAACTAGCTTTTTCTCAAAAAAAAAAAAACCCCAACTATAATTCTTATTTTGTATCTTGTTTATAAGTTCTTGTCTCTACTTCTGATAATAGCAGTATTCTTCTTGTTGATACAAAAGAAAATTCAAAATGTATTTCACTTCTTCCTGTTTAGGCATCTTACTTTCAGTATCAGACTCTATTAGACAAGAAGAGCACACAAAATTCTTATTGGACTCATACACCATAATTTCCAGTAAATACTCCTCTTTTTCATATACCGATGTTATATTCTTTATCTTAAAAGTAATACAGCCCTGGCCAGGAGGCTCAGTTGGTTGGAGCATCAACTGTACACTAAAGGTTGTGGGTTCGATTCCTGGTCAGGGCACATACCTAAGTTTCAGGTTCAATCCCAGGTCTGGGCTCATATGGGAAGCAACTAATAGATGTTTCTCTCTTTCTCTCTCCCTCTCTCTCCCTCCCTTCCTCTCTCTCTAAAATCAATAAAAACATATCCTGGGGTGAGGATTTTATTTTTAAAAAGTAAGCCCTGGCTGGTTTGGCTCAGTGGATAGAACATCGGCCTGCAGACTGAAGGTTCCGGGTTCGATTCCAGTCAAGGGCATATGCCTGGGTTGCAGGCTCCGTCCCTGGTGGGGAGCATGCAGGAGGCAGCTGATCAATGATTCTCTGTCATTGATGTTTCTATCTCTCCCTCTCCCCTCCTCTCTGAAATAAAAATATATTTTCACAAAGAAAAAGAAAAAAGAAGTTTTCTAAACAAAAACAAAAATTAATATAAACTGTGGCAGATTATATTTTCCAAAGATGGCTACAATGGCAGATTCCATCCATAGCATTTCTTATAATGTGATCTTCATACTCCTCTCTTCAAGTGGTGGGATCTACATCTACCTTCCTCCTCTGGACCTGGGTGGACCTTTATGACTACCTCAACCCATAGAAGAGAGCAGAGAAACACTAGGTGACTTTCAAAACTAAGTCAAATATGCCATGCAAATTCGCCTTGCTCTCTTCTCTGGGAACCCAGCCACCATGCTGTGAGGAAATCAATCAGCCAAAAGGAGAGGTCATGTGTAGGTGTTCTGGCTGACAGCCCAGGCTGAGGTCCGTGCCAACAGCCAGCATTAACCACCAGACACTGAGTGAGCAAAACTTCAAATGATTCCAGCTCCCAGCCCTTGAGCCACCCCTACCCTTCTAGCTACTCCACCTCACACCACATATTGACAGAGACAAGCTGTCCCACCTAGTGAGCCTTGCACAAATAGCAGATACATAAGCAAAACAGATAAGTGGCATGTTTTAAACCACTAAGTTGGGGTGGTTTGTTATGCAACAATAGATAACTAACATGTGCTCATGAATATACTTTGGAGAATGCATAGAGACTGTACAGTTTGGGTAATATTATATTTAAAAAATTTTTTCTTGAAATATTAATTTGTATTGTATGTAACATTATATTTGAAATCATTTTTTAAAATATTAATGTTTACTGCATGTAACATTATTATACTTAAAATCCTTTTGTTGAAATATTGTTTATTGCATGTAAAAAAAAGAAAATGTATAAAAGAGAAAGAAAATTTTAATTACTCTAAGTTTCACCATTGCTTTTTTTAAAAATATATTTTTGAGTTTATTTATTTCAGACAGGAAGGGAGAGGGAGAGAGAGAGAGAAGCATCAATGATGAGAGAGAATCATTGAATAGCTGCCTCCTGCAGGGCCCACAATGGGGATCGAGCCCACAACCCAGGCATATGCCCTGACTGGGAATCAAACCCATGACCTCCAGGTTCATAGGTCAACACTCAACCACTGAGCCACGCCGGCCGGTCAGTTTCACTACTGATAACATTTTGACATGTATTTTACAATCAAGAAAATGTTTTGCCCCACCCAACTAAGATTCCAACTGCTTTGTTTTTACCAAGATAAAGGGTTAAATTTTTAAAGATGGTCAAATGTTTGCATCTAACAAGAAAAAGAAAGGAAGAACATTAGCACCCATTCTACTTTTCTTACCCTTACTCTCTCTTTCACTTACTTGTCCTAAGTCAGGTGTCTGAGGATGGCTGGTCCACCAATATTCCAATCTCTGGATATGGATCAAGATCTTTGGCTGCAAGAACAGAGGCACTGGTCCTCTTCCCTAGAAGTTGATTAAGGCCAAAATCTGAAATTTTCAAAGAAAGAAAATGCTTAACTTAGACATCTCCTCAATCACTTATAATTCCATCACTACAACTAAATAGAGGCTGATAGAGAGGGATTACATGGAAGTGAATGCACAGGTTTCACTAAAAGTGGAGTTGTTGATGTGGATTCAACTTCCAGCTCTACTTCTTACTAGCTATATGAACTTTGTTAAAGCACAAATTATCTGTGCCTAAGTCTCGTCATGTGATGAAGATTAAGAGGACATGATCAAAACTTTGAGCTGGAAATCAGAAGACCTAGTTCTAAACTCACTTATCATTCTGCATTGCTTGTTAAGAACTTTGATATTTCCCTGGGCTCAGAAACGTCATCTCTGAAAGGAGAAGGTTGCATAAAATAATGGTTTCTGAAATCTAATCCTTGAATAGGTGCCAGCCATGACCAAACATGGGTGTAAAGTTACAACTGTGCTTACTATGAGATTGTCCCTCGTACTCTTTTGGTGTTAAAATGAGATGATGTGACAGACAGTAGCTGTTTTTTTGTTTTTTGTTTGTTTGTTTTAATATATTTTTACTGATTTCAAAGAGGAAGGGAGAGGGGGAGAGAGAGATGGAGAAAGAGAAAGAGAGAAACATCAATGATGACAGAGAATCATTGACCAGCTGCCTCCTGCATGCCCCGCACTGGGGATCGAGCCAGGCATGTGCCCTGACCGGGAATTACACCTTGACCTCCTGATTCATAGGTCGATGCTCAACCAGAGAGCCACGCCAGCTGGGCAGTAGCTGTTTTTTAAATACCACAAAGGGTGGAAATAAAAAGCCTGTAGCCCCATGCAAACAATCTAAAATTCTCTTTAGAAATTCTAGTGTCTGTATGATTTACATGAGCTCTAAAATTCCTTCTACTTCTAACATTCTGAATATTCATTCACTACTCAGAATATATAGTAAAGGCTTATATGATTCTAAGGAAAAATGAGCTAAAAACTGGAAGACATTAGAAACTTATTTTGTATGGACACCTACTTTCAGATAATAATGTTTTTAAAAACCCACAGATTAAGAAAAGCTAAATTTCATTACAAATAGATAGATGCTCTCACAAAACAATTTCACATGTAATTTGCAAAATGTATTTTTAGCCAATAATGTGTTTCACTTCATTTCTTCATTGGCCTGATTCTAGAACAGACAGATTATAATGCTTTTGATGTTTTACTTTCAGTTTTAACAGTTGTGTTCAAAGAGAACTAAATACGTACGTACACACACACACACACACACACACACACACACACACACAAAAACAACCACAGAGAACAATGGGTGTAGCAAATGCTTTTCAAATATGCCAGAAATTGCATTGGATATGTTACTAGTGAAAACACTTCACATGTATTTGATTATAATGAGCCAATATAATTAAAGCAATATTTATATTTTGTCCATGATTATATTTCACATATTTCTTCCTCCATTACAGCACAATAAATTAAAAAATCTCCTTATCATATTGTAACTATTTTCAAGGAAACCGGTATGTCAATGATACTAAAACATGGAGCCATAATAAATTATGAATGTTAGTAATTTTCCAATATTTTCAGATTGAAGCAGGCGAGGTGCCATATTAAAGAGGAACTATGAATATAGAGTATTACTGAAATAGGACCAGAAAGAAAATATAAATTTCTAAAAACACAACTGAAAACACAGAACTAAATAAAAGTCTGCTATTTCAAAGATTCGGCTTGCCAAATTTCCCCCTATGGATAAATGTTCAATGCCCATTGGACATTTTACACTACTTCCAAGATTGAAAGTCTTCTGCAAAAAAAAAAAAAAGTCTGCTAATACTATGAACATAAATTAACTCCCAGATTGTTTATGCTTCCAAGTTGCTTCCACTATAGCAGTGGTTTTCAACCTTCCTAATGCCACGACCCTTTAATACAGTTCCTCATGTTGTGGTGACCCCCAACCATAAAATTATTTTTGTTGCTACTTCATAACTGTAATTTTGCTACTGTTATTAATCGTAATGTAAATATCTGGTATGCAAGATGTATTTTCATTGTTCGTGACCCACAGGTTGAGAACCGCTGCACTAGAGCAACAAATCAAAGACAACTTACAAACAACATTTAAGACTTATGCAAACCTAAAAACAAAGAAATCTGACATACTTTCCACAGAAAATATGCCTATGGAAAATATTATTTATTTTTTAAAAACAGCATTCACTTCAACTTTTTAAAACTAGAATTGCTATGTTAGAGTAAGTACAAAGAGAGGAGGAAATCTTCTCAATAACAAATTAGTCTTCCTAGTCAACATTTAACTTTTAAATTTTATCTGAGATTTACTTTCATTGTATCTGATGATTCTTGTCTCCTTCACCTCCTACCAACTTTTCAAAGACTTCAAACCCATCTACCAGCCAAGTTCAATTCTGGATGCCATTCAAAAAATAGGTTTTTATACCCTACCCTCTCTTAGTATATGAATGAACATTAACAGCTCTTATAATTCCATTTCACCAAGGCCAAGTGTGATGTACTGCTTCACAACTCCAAACCTGGATGCATGACTCCAAATTACTCTTCTCAAAATGGGAGCACTCATTCCTTGTTACTCATAAAGTGTGGTTCACAAACTGGTAGCATAGGTATCATCTGGGAGCTTGTAAGAAATACAAAATTTCAGGCCTTATCTTAGACCTACTGAATAAGAATTTGAATTTTAATAAGCTCCTCAGGTGATTCACACACAACAAAAACTTTGAGAAGCATTGTCCTACCTAGTTCACTCATTCAGGCTCCCCTCCTCCTACTTTACAGTTCCTCCTTACCAATTTGACATTTAAGAAATAAGAACCTTTTTCTTTTGGACATATTAATAACCACCAAAATGTAATGAGGATTCTTTTTTTTTTTGAAGTCCACTTTCTTTATGTACAAAAACGTATGAGTAGAAACAAAAGCAAATTAAACATTATCACATATGTTTACACCACTATCTAGGTTCTTCATATCAACGTTACTATTCAAACAATAGAAAGCAGGTGGCAAATTAGGGATCGGGGCTAAACCGGCAGTCGGACATCCCCTAAGGGGTCCCAGATTGGAGAGGGTGCAGGACGGGCTGAGGGACACCCCCACCCCGTGCACGAATTTCATGCACCGGGCCTCTAGTCCTTTAAATAAGATTACACAGTTTCTCGGAAGTATGCCCGCACCTTTCCCATACCCCTCTTCTTTCCCCCAGAAGCATTACCTGTGCTTTTCTCCTAAACTCCAAGGAGTTTGCTCCTTCTTTTGCTTCTGCAACTTGTTTCCAGAGCCTATACAGCTCATCTGGCTCACTTCTACTACCTCTGTAATGTTCTAAATAAACTTTCCCTTGTAATTGAAAAGAAAAAGGGTACACAGTTTCTTCACAACCTTCTTTTCATAAAAGACTATAAGCTCCATGAAGCCAGGCACTTCATTGTATCTTTAAGACCAAATCAGTGCCAGGCAATTATTTGTAGAGGGAACAAAATAGATACCAGATGATCCCTAAACTCCTCCAACTCTTCACAAGGCGGATTCACTATTGAGTTCATAAGGCTCAATACTTTTTTTATCTTATCATTATATCATTATTAATATTATATTTTAGGTGAAATGACAATGACACTTCCTCTACATATACATTATCATTCAAGTAGCTAGTAAACTCAACTATCCAGAAGAGCTATGCACTCAGAGCTTAAGGTAGCCTAAAATATACACAGAGCTGGAAAGAATCCTATATAATAAAGAGGTAATATGCAAATTAACCATCGCTCCAACACACAAGATGGCCGCCCCCATGTGGTCAAAGATGGCCAGCAGGGGAGGGCAGTTAGGGGTGAC